AAAAAAAAAAAAAAAAAAAACAAAATCAAGGGTTAAAAATTCGCTGGCACCGCGTGGACGCGATTTTTACACAATACTATATCTCCTCTCGACGAGATAGATTTTCGGGACTCGATGCAATGTTCTACAAGATCTTTTTTCCGGGGCGGTTAGTTTCTCCAATTTCTCAAGAAACTCAATGCTCCCGCATCTAGACTAGATTTTTCAGTCACGACTTCTCGAACGTGTTAAAGCGTCAAAGAAAGAGCCACGACTCGTACGGTGCTGTTGATGGCGGCGAAATAAATATTACGTATAGCCGCTTCCAGAGAACACGAGGTAATCTGGAAATCGTGGAAACGAGTACAAAGCGACGAATTGTCAGCCGATTCGTGCATGAACGTTGCTTGTTCCTTCGACATGTTGAAAAATGGGAAATTCAGGTCGGGCTCTGAAACCTGTATTAACTTGCACTTCGGTAGAAGTATCGGTATTCCGACCATACGCCATTTAGTTACACTGGCTCGCACAATTGATCAAATATTTCGAGTATTCGTATCAACAACACACGAAATTATTTCTTCGTCTGAAATGTTTCGCGGGAATTTCACAGAAGTATCAGATGAAAATTGTCGCTCTTTTTCTTATCATTATAAGAACAGTGTCTATCAAGCGAAGCGATTGATTAATTTTCTGGAGAATAGAAAATAAATTGAAAGAAATTTGGAACTTAGTTTACTGTATGAACATAGTAATGCCAAATTCTGACTTTTCACATTAGTGTATAATAATTATAAAGCTATGTGAGATATTGAAAAAAAAAAAGTTAAATTGAAAGTTGATCTACACGATGATGGTGAAAAATTTTCAAGAGTTAAAAGAAAAAGATTCGTATTGTATAACTTTGCAGTAATATCGGGCAACGATGTTCAAATCGAATTTCCTTTCTGCATCTCAAAGATGTATTTTCTATAAGCATTAAAAATCAAAAATCTCTCACGCCAAAATCAATATTTCTTTACAGAGATATCCTTTATTTTTTAGCAGGAAAAATTTGTTCAATTATTAGCATCGCATAAACAACATTTACGCAATGTGCCAAATTTGTTCCATTTTCCCTTGTGTATCAATTTATATTCGTTACGATGTATCTATTTCTTTTCACGTTTGGTAAGACGATGCCGCAGACTTTGAATCCTGAGGAAGAATCCTCAGAATCTCGTGGGAGATAGTCGAGACTGGGTAATCGGAAATACCTAAGATAAATTGCTCGAAGAGCGTGCAAAAGTCCGATGGAAGCGTTCGAAGATTTGTCTCTTCTAGCTACGTATATCTAACGAAAGTTATTCTTTCATTTGCCACATCTTCTTGGCTTAGTTAGCAACGGTTATTTTCTTTCTACGATGCGATGATAAATCTCTGATTCGCAATTCTGATAATTTTCTGCTAATTTCGGGGGGATTTTTATTTTTAGGACGAGAAGAACCAGATACTGACAACCAACTGTTGGGTGACGCAGGTCTGGACCGACCATCATTTGAAATGGAACGCCTCGGAATTTGCTGGGATTCAAGTGATCCGTGTTCCTTACAATCGCGTCTGGAGGCCAGATACGATCTTGTACAACAAGTAAGTGATGTCTTTTCTTTTAAAATGTCGTACGAATGTCATACCGTTCGTTTTTGCAATTGTTGAAGTAGCACTAAATCTGAGGAAATGACGAGCCTTGGAATCTAAGAGACAAACATTGTTGCTACGAACAGGCTATTTCTCTTGAAATAAAATACTAGAAAATTGTATTACAAGACAAAGGTTAGAGTTCTCTTTTTATGAATATACAAGAATATTTTTAAACACGAAGATTATAGATCCTCTGATCTTTCTGCGTGTTTCCACCGTCGAATGAATCGTCATTCTTCCGTCGTTGGAAAATTTCTCAAGAAAAAATTACTGTCGTATGTTATTCCCGGCCTTTCAATTTCCCAAAGATGGAACGTCGAATGTCAAGAGAGATTGAAACGTAAAATATCCGAGGATCCCACGGTGGAATTAAAAGATTGAAACCAACGTTTGCTCAATTGTCGTTGGCTCTGTTTATCCAAACGTGAAATGCTATTACGTAAACAAAAAAAAACCAGTAGAACAATAGGAAGAATCAACGAGTACCTATCGTATGAATTGCAGAGTTGCATCAATTGTTGTACTCTGTCGATAGATTTGGCCAAATGGAGTATCCACTAGTGTCAGTCGAGCGTTATGTTATAAAATAGAAGTTTTGGTATTGATTGGCTGCAGTAGAAGCGCGCTGATTTCTTCCGTCTGGTCGCTGCCTATATCTTCGGTATTTTGTTTGTAGCGCCGATCCACAGTACAGCTCGGCGGTCATCAATACGAACGTGATAGTCAGTCACACGGGCGAGGTGGTGTGGTTAAGCCACGGGATATTTCGCAGCAGCTGCGACATCAACGTGGAGTTCTTCCCTTTCGACGAGCAACGCTGCGTCCTGAAATGGGCCTCCTGGACGTACGATGGATACCAAGTAAGATCAACCTCCTTTCTTCCTTCCTTTCATCCATTTTAGGACGAATCCCTCTGCCGCCCGGCCTGTATATTAGGCTTGTGAGTTTCACGGAAGCGTGAAAGAAACGAAGGAATTTTAGGCGATGGCTGCCGAAAACGTCGACGAGGATATCGGAGGGAAGGCAACGGGCAATTTCGAGGCCGTGAATTCAGGCAATGGAAGGTGGAATACAGTTTTCCACGCAATTAACCCGAACGAGACTGGCGCGGTGCTGTGAGCGCGTGCTGACACCCACGAGAAACCAACACCGGTTCAGCCCCGTATATTTTATTCAAATCTTTTTTCATCGATTCTGAAATTGCCTGGCTGTGTTCTACACACTTTTT